CTGCTTGCCGGGGCGGGTGCGCCTTGCTGTGCAGGTCGGGCTGGGGAAGCCCAACTGCGAGGAGCTGTGCCAAGGAAAGCTTGCATCTTGTGTGTATTAGTAATGTACGTTGACGTTTATCTAATGAAGTGTATTAATGGGCTCTGCAAAATAATGTTTTCCTGGGGAGGATCCAATTCTTTAGCCTGTTAACAGGTTTGCCTGTGTGCTCTTGCCAAACCAGGATGTCCTTGCAGTCAGGATATTCTTAAATTAACAGAACTTGAGCTTGTCCAGGGTATCAGGCACCTCTTATCCACTACATTTTTATTTTGCATTTCATGTAAGCGTTGCAGTTTCACCACATTATGTGGTGCATATGCTTATTGCTGGGGGGCTTTCTGTCACACTTGGTGTAACAGTTGGGTTTTCATGGTCCAGCAACGTGAATTTCACAGCCCTGTCTAAATAGTTATGCTCTAAATGGTATTTTGAAAATTGTGAGCGATGTTTGCTAGTTGGACGTAGACTAAAACCACCCAATGTGCTTCATGAATTTCTATATATAGTTTCCTGGCAATTTGAACCCATAAGAAATCTTATTTATGATTTTGGGGCTTCACTCTGATTAAAATGTTCCTCTGTATCAGAGACACAAGCATAGGACAGTCAGCAGTGAATTTATTGTGGATCAGAATTGGTTTGATTGACTCACTTTAATCAGAGTTTCAGACCTTTGTCTTGCAGACATTTCTGTCTAACTTACCTGATGCTTATGATTAGGGTCATGGGATAATTCAGGTTGGAAGGGACCTCAGGAGGTCTCTAGGCCAACCTCTTGCTCAAAACAGGTCAGCTGTGAGGTCAAACGAGATTGCTCAGGCCTTGATCCTATCAGGCCTTGAAAACCTCCAGGGATGGAGACTGCACTGTGTCTCTGGGCAACGTGTTCCGCTGCCTGACTGGGCTCATAGTGAAAATGTCTTTCCTTGTATCCAGTCCGAAGCTTCTTTTTCTTTCCACTTCTGCCTGTTGTCTCTTGGCCTCCTACCCCACCCCGCTATGAACAGCCTGGCTCCAGCTTTAAGCTCTACCCAATTCTCAAAGTCTGAGTTCTGTCAGTTTGCTGTCTTGTTTGGAAATCCTTCAGCGTTTTGTTACACAGAACTCTGAACTTGTAAATGTGACTTTGCTTTGCTTACATTCAAATTTACTTTGAAGCTCACCCCTCGGAGACTGGCTCTTTCTGATGTGTGCTCTTTTGCTGGGATGTTCTTCTGAAAACCACTCCAGGTCCTAAGAAGCTTCTCACAGGTTTAAAAAATAAACATATAATAAAAAAAATATTTATCTGGGGGGAGTAGGCTAGTTGACAGTGCCCTGGCTGTCAGTCAGTGTGTTTTACTGGGTCTGTATCAAGTGTATGAGATGACTCGCGTGACTGGCGTTTTTCCCCTAAAATAATTAATTAAAAAAAAAATAAAGAAAGAAACCTCTTTAGTGTAGTTAAAACACACCAAAAGCTTTATGAAAATAAATTACTGTTAGTGTTTGCAATGTTTTTTTGAAAGAAAATGAGCCAAAACTGAAGTTGCAAGAGCTGCTTTCCTGAAAATCTGCTGGAAGAGCACCTCCCTGTGATACAGGGAAGATAAACATGAAGCCTGTCATTAAAATCAGGGGTGTACTGCTTATTTTTATTAAGCACATCACTGCTCAAAGAGCTTTGCTTACGATTGAATCAGTGATCAGAAGTTTCTGTTGATTTGCAGTAAACGTCATTCCCCAAATTTAGACTCTGAATGTTCTCTTATTTCTACTTGTTTGCCTGTTGAAGCTGCAGTGACGTTAGTGAGTAGTCTTTCAACGGGCTGTAAATCAGGTTCTCAGATCTGTGGCTTAGCTGAAAGGATTCTTGTAGCACATTGAAAAATACAAAGTTAGGGCTTATTTTTCCTTGCACAGATTTTGTTCAGACTTCAGCCTGCTCATGCGTTTGGCAGTTTTCAGAAACATCAGCGATCAAGCTACCTTCGTCCTTGTCCTTTCCACCTCTATTCTCTGTTGCCAAAAGCAAATTCCTTCCACTTTTGTGGACCTGGGAGGTGGAATGTTGCAAATTTCAAATTTGAACAGGAAAGGAGGTGCAAGTAAATAATAAAGCATGTTTCGGTCAGACCAGAAAAGTCTTTGAAATGGGATAACTTCCTTTGGTGAGAATTTAGATAGCGCTTTTAGACGTAAGATGCTCCAAAAGGGGTCAAAGTACAGAATGTGTTAAAATGCTTAGTGTCATTTTCCTTGTTCAGAATTGTTCTGGTGCTGTTTATGAAGAGACTTATTGATGTCCTGTTCTTGTGTGTGTGTAGATCAGTTATTTCACGAAAAATAATGTTTACTTCTAGTGTATACTCTCAGACTACACTTTGATGTTATAACTTCTTGGCTTTTAGGTCCTGGAACAGAACACTGTTCATCCCTAAGGCTCTTCACTAAGTGCTACTGATTTATTGGTGGTTCACCTCCATCCCAAGTGGTTAATCTACAAAGATTGTGAATCAAATTAGGAATGGAACTGATCTTTTTCCTTTTGATGCTCAATTTATTTCCTTTCTCACCCCTTTTCTCTCTCTTTGTGTCTTTTTTTTTTTTTTTTTTTTTTTTCTTTCTCTGATTAAAGGAAACACCGAAGAGGCTGGAAGGCTACTGGGCAGCAAGAATGTCCGTGTCAATTGCTTGGACGAGGTACAGTGAAACTGTAGGAGCGTTATGCTGGATTTAGCAAGGAGAATACTGGGTCTGAAGGCCTTGTTGTTCAATAACGTTGCTGTACAGCCTACTGGTAATCAGAGTTATTCTGAAGATGCTTCCAGCTTGCAGCTGAGTAATGAACCTTTGAAGAGCTTTTATTTTTTTTTAAAAAGCAAATTTAATGATTGATGTTACTTAAAGTACTACACTGTTTGTATTTTCTTTCAAGTTCCAGCATGAGCTTTGGTGTCTGTAAGGTAAGATGAACGCTGCAGCAAGACACGTGGGGGTGCTCCCTGACCTCTTGTCACCTCACCAACCTATAGTCCCTCTGCTTAGGTAAAGCAGACAGTGTGGATAAAGAATACCTGTCCCTCTCTCATGCCTGCCTCTCGTCACCCAAAGCCTGATCTTTGCAGAACCATAAACGTGCTCAGAGAGCGAGCAGTTAGGGCAGAAGTGGAAAACACAGTCTTTGGCAGAGGTGGATGTGATGGACACGTAGAAGATCCGATCTTTAAGTGCTGCGTGAAGATGGGAGGAAGTTCGTAGAGAGAGGAACCTTGTGTGATGTTCATATGTTTCCTCTTTGTCTTTTTACAATGTTTTTCTAAAGCGTGCAACGTTAACACGAAGCGTAACGTGGAAGAAAAGCTGTAATTGCCCACCACGTGTGTTAGATAAGTTACCCATGTAAATGGCAGTTTGTGGTTTCTTTCCCAGCTTTATAATTTCATAGGATCTCTGGGAATTTCAGGCTGGAAGGGACCTCAGAAAGTCTCTAGTTCAGGCTCCCACTCAAAGCAGCTTCAGTTTCGAGGTCACATGAGGTTGCTTCGAGCTTTATCCTCTCTGGCCTTGTAAACCTCCGAGGGTGGAGACTGCACAACTTGTTCCACTGCCTTGCTGGGCTGACGGTGAAAATGTCTTTCTCTTCTGTCTGAACTCCTGTTTCATCTTAGGCTCGTTGTCTCTTGCCCTCCTGCCATCGTAACTGAAGAGCTTGGCTCTGTCTTCTCCATGATTTTCCTGTAGGCACAGGCAGGCTGCTGGTGGGTCCCACAAAGCCGTCTCTTCTCCAGGCTGACCAAGCCCAGTTCCTGCAGCCTCTCTTCACTGCACGAGTGCTAAAGTTCCCACCGTATCTTGGTGGGACTCTGCGAAACTCGCTGCAGTTTATCCATGTCTTTGTTGTACTGGAAGGCCCAAAATTGGACAGGGTGTTGTAGATGTGATCTCATGAATGCTGAACAGGAGAAATTATCACTTCTTCAACTGGGTATCTTCGAGGAACATTGTTAGTCTTTTTTGTGCTGCCAACGGATCCATTTTCTGATTGTTCTTAAATACAGTTAGATGTTTAAACCATAATTTCTAATGTGTGAATTTCAACAAGCTTCTGACAAACTAGTCAAGCTAAGCTTTACTGTAAACTTTAGAAACCCGAGATACAGTGTAAGTCTCTTTGCAAATGTGCTTTATTGTGTGGATTTTACAAGCTTTTCTTTAATGCCGTTGCTGAACTAGTGCTATACGACTGTCCTGCAGGATTACTGCTGGGAGGATGTGGTTTATTAATAGAAACCATAACTGAGTTATGCCTCAGGCTATTGTTAAAGAAGAAATCGTATTAACAATACTTGCCTAATGCTCACAGCTGACTACATCCAAGGCACATAGGACTTAAGAAGTTCAAGCAATGGACTTCTTGCAGTCCCCTTTTTATCCCTGAGAGTGGTGTGTAATGATGCCTACTGAACAGGAAAGGGTTTGCATTTCCTTAGGATTCTTAATCCATCAGTCATCTCACATCAACTTTTAAGATTTTTTGTATTGTAAAACATTTTGCCTCTAATGTGTTATTTTAATATCTATCCATAAATAGAGTGTGTGAAACCCCAGTTAAACATGAGCTTCATCTGTTACTCAACGTTGCCACAGCTGGAGACGGCTTTGAATGCGTTGGGTCTTATTTTCTTCCTCTGCTGCCTTAGCTGTTTCTCCTGAAATTCACATTATTATTTATATTATTACTGTTACTTATTTTTATTAATGTTAAGAAATGAGGAAGCAGCCCTGAAAACTGAATGCTTAGATGCTGAAATGGGAGCACAATTCAGTTGGGAACTAAGAACTCCTTTGCTTCCTTAAAGTCCTTTTTACATGAGAGAATCCACAGAAGGAGCAGAGGTTTAATGTGATTCTCTCTTCTATGTGTGGTACAGCGAACATGCAGTCACAGTTTAATAATTTCGACAGGCTGGAGAACCCACAGTGTCCAGAAGGAGGCTGTGACATACTGCGATTCCTGGTTTCAAAACATAAGCATGTAAGATGTCCCTTTATTTTTGGGTTTGACTGTATATTCTAACTGCTCACATCTACTGTCTTCTAGGTTAAACACTACCAACAATCAGCAGTCTTTTTTTCTCTCTGTACCTTTAGGCAAGGACTCACGTCTTTAACATCAATGCATTGACTTTTTGAGTATCTTGCCCAGAGTTGCGTTTCTTCAGCACCTGAGCTATAATCATGAGTTTTCAGAGTCTTTTCCAGTTGTCTCAGCTTCTCCCTTCAAAAAATGTAGGCATGAGCTGGATACAGTATTCCAGTGTTGCATCTGCTGTTGTTACATGTATTTAAACACCCAAAAATGGCTCCTCTAAGTCTCTTTGCTTTTCCTGCCCGTGTGCCAAGACTCACTCACCCTTCACCTCCTCCTGCCTGCAGTGCTCCACTGGGAGCTGTAGGTCACTTGAAAGCAGAGTAAGACTCTTTATTCAAATCAATTTCACAGCTGCCCATCTTCCAGAAGGGTGTAGATACCCAGCAGATACTGTCTTGTTTTTTCCTGCCATCCTTTCTGACCAAACCAATTTTTTTGTTGTTGTTTTTTCTTTGTGCCTTCAGGTAAGAAAGGAAGGGTATTTAGGCTTAATCACTCTCTTTATGAAAATGAAGATATACATAGCTCTTCCGCAGAATTGGTCTTTAACAGTTCAACTGGCAGCTTTAAAACTTCAGGGGCATTTAAGCTCAGGTGTCCCAAGTTATTATGACAAATACAAGGGCCGTGGAAATGGATGCAAAATAAACACAAATCTCTTTCATTTCAATGCACACTGCTTAGTCATTTTTTTTTGTCCTCTTTTAGACAGAGTGGTTGCCAATTTGGAAATGTATGGAGGAAAGTGTTGAGGAATTTCCTTTCCCCTGGGAGTACAGAGCTTGTAAATAGTGTTGTGACTTCGTGTTGGCTGTTCGCTGACTTTAACTCCACCCGTTTGCAGGGCGAGCCGAGATCTTTCAGGTTATTCTGGAAAGGCAGTCTAGAGGAAGCACATGGTTTCTCTAGCTGTGGAAGTTTCCTCCAGCCATGCTGGTTGTTACGGTTGCAAAGGAGCACTGTAGTACTACAGTCCTGTATTTTCTGCAGATCAAGCAGAACAACTTGACCTGAAAAGGCTTCACAGCTTTTCTGTGTTTAAAATAATTTTAAGGTCGTTCATAATCTTCTTATGTACAGAACTGTCATTTGGCATTAGCAGCATTACTTTTTCCCTCTAGCTTGGTAATTCAGCTGCTCACTTCTGTGATAAAACACATCTTTTGGAAACAGTCCACTTCTATGTGCTAATTACGGAACTGAATACTTGCTGGGAATTACAGCAGCAGCCTGCTTATTAGCCTATGAGATAGCTTTACTCGTACTGATTACGTTCCATGGAGAGTTCTTCAGTTAATCTGTCTTGCTATTCCAGTGTGGACTTCCTGTGCTAGCAGGAAATACTGGATCCTTGGCCTTTGTTGAGGAAAGAGTTCTGTCTTTTGATGTTTTTTACATAGTATGTCAAAATACACAAGTTCAACAGCTATTAAGAATGATCTGGTTTCAGTTCAGGTCGCTGACTGTTGGAGACTTTAACTTTTCATCACTGCTGGTGAACAGAAGGTTCATCAGAGGAATGTAATGGGTTACATACGTGAAAGCAACCGCTTGGCTCAGGGTGACTATAGAGGAGAACTAGAGCTATGACCAGCCCTCACTAACAGTATTTCCTCTTCCAATTAGTTCATACTTAGCTATTGCTGACACTGTGCATGCATGTGTCTGTTGACTACCTTCCAAATCCTGCTCACAGTAAGTTTAAGATAGGTAAGGGCAACCTTATTCAAAAGCTGTAAGGGTGAAACTTCTAAAGGCTTGAGTCCAATGCAAGTTCAAGTGGTGCATTTCTAGACTGGCAGCATTCAGTACCATGTCAGAGACATTTTTACAATCCAATTTTCCAAATACCCACCTGAACCTGTCTTAATGAGTTGGTCTAATTTCAGTAGTGCTGTTCCTTTTTGTTTAGGAGAGTTGATTGTGAAGACATACATCAACTCGTACTTCTGTGTTCCTTGTGGCACCTGCTATTTTTGCATCATTTGTTTCCTTTTTAGTAAATTCCCAAATATTGTCTCAAATAAAAGCCAAACCTACAGTCTGTGTTTAGTTTGTAATTTTTCTGAATTAATAGAACTGGTATAGTTGCCTGAATGGAAAGAATAAAATAGTGTAGGACACTGGGAATGTCGGGACCACTTGGATTCCTTTTTTCTCTGAGCAGCACGAGACTGTGTGGCTGCTTCAGTAGCCAATAATCAGCATGTTTTCCACAAAACAATGGCTTTTAAAAATATAAATGTCATGTCTGTGGTGTTACATGGTCAGCCTGAGTGCTCAGAGTACTCGCAACACAGTCTGGTTTTCTGCCAGATAGGCACAGGGCACTGGGATGTGAGATGGTCTGTGTGTGTGTTGTTTGTTTGTTCCCTGGCTGCCCCACGCTCCCCCATGCCTCTGGTCAACGAAGGCTGAGAAACGAGTGTGGCTGAAAACTTCCTCCGTAGTTCCTAGAAGGCAGAAGGTTGCTTTTCCAGTTTATAATCTTTAAAGACTTGTGTGTCCACAGGATGAACAAAAACACCCCTCCCAGGTGCTGAAGAGAGATGGACTGACCTGCTTTCTTCTTCCCCTGCTTCTGGTGGTGGAGTCCAACCCCTCCCTGGTTCTGGTGCTCACCTGCCCCTCCTGCCTCCCCACGCATCCTTTTCTTCCCATATTAGTGGATTCAGCCCACTCACCCCGTAGTATTTTTTCTTCAGTTGGCTCCCCCACCATGGCAGCATTAGGTCAGCTTAGCTCTTGGAATCACACCTCTCCATCTGCTTCTGGTGTATTTTCAGCATCAGGAACTGGGAAGGGTGGTGTGCCACGGCTGGGCTGGCTGCGCCCTGAGGCACAGCCCCATTGTGCCGGGGAGCCCCCGTGGGCTGAGGAGCTGAAGAACCTGGCCAAGCGAGGTGCCCAGCAGTATCGAAGGGCGCTGCAAACTATTCCCCTTGTGCGGTCAGACATGGAGGGAATACTTGCAGCCCTGCACAAGGCAGCAGCTGTTAATTTTGCTCTTGTAAACCACGTAACATCCCTGCAAAGCAAACCAGAAACTGGGAAAGACTCATTTTTGACCTAGGGAAGGAGGTTAAAAGACTGGATATTTGATCAGAAGAATGTTACACAGTAGCTGCTAGAAAACGAGTTCTTCACCCTGTGTTCCATACAGGAGCAAGAAATGATTCGTTTCATCTGTATGCTTAATAAACTGGCTGCTAGCGTAGTCTTTTAAGGCTAGGTTGTATTGACAATCTGAATGTCATCTGTCAGAAAACAGACTGTTGCTGGACCTGTCTCTGATATTCAGCCTGAGAAGGGGATTTTAGTCTCTTCAGTCATTTCAGGACATAATCCAGGATACCAGGCTTTTCCAGCTCAGCTTGTGCCTAGCCTGTCCCTCTTTTGTTTGCTGTGAATGTGAAGGGTTGATATTAGCGTGACTTTAAATGCAGTTTTCTAGGAACTGTCCATGTGTTTTCTGCTCAATATGGTTTTTTTTTTTATCCACGCCACAGCCTGACACTTTCAAAATTTAATCAAAAGCTTTTTAAAAAGTTTCCCAGGAGGAGGGGGATGACAAAAAAGCCCAACTGGCATTCAAGATATAATCGAACTTGAAGACATCGTTTTCTTAAAGTTCCTTCTCCAGTCAATACGCTTACTGTGTTCATGATATAATATAATATGATATCATATAGATAGAAAACCTTTACCTTTATAGGACTGCAAATGAAAGCTAGCAAAAACGACCACAAATTTGTTTTGTGCCTGTGAAGCGATCTCTTCGGGTCTTTTGTTTCTTTAATGGCAGTTTATACTGCAGTTTAGCACAATATTTCAGGTTACTAAAATACAATGCATCAAGCAATCATTTTTTTTATTGTTTTCAGTTAGGATGGGGAAGAATGAAAATATAGTACTTAAAAATTGTTACTATAAGTATAACTTTCCCAATTTCCCTCACCTTTAGGAATTTTTTGAAAATTATACTGATAGATTTAACTCAACTGAGTTTTATTCTGTCATAAATTGAGACAAGAAATACATTAAGGCTCTAACTGACGATTACATTATTTCAGAGCATCACGTCACCAAGTGTTTGCGGAGCTGCAGTAATGGGGTGCATCAGTGTATTCATGCCAGAGCCTTAGCCTGCAAAAAAGGGAAGAAAAGGCCATTTTGATTTCCTCCAGGGACAAACTAAAGCACACTCCCTCGTGTTCAGTGTGGGAGAGTGTTCTTGGGCACTGACTTGATGTTAAGAGGAAATAAACAGCCCGTTGGAAGCAGCGTATCAGATTCTGAAAACACAATGTCGTGCAGTTTCCTCAAACAGAAATGAGCTTCTCGCTGCCCTCTGCGAGGGAGAGAGCCCACGCTGACAATTCACCCTGGTCCTGAAGCTTTCCCCACGGCTCTGCCCAGGTCTGCATTTAAAGTTCCACCAGCGCAGCTCTAACAACAGCTCAGCGCCTCCGTTTGGTGCTGGTGCAGCTTATCGGAAGGCGAGGTTTGAGGCTGCGTGGTGGGAGCTGCGCACCTTTACGAGGGCTGCCAGAGCTCTGGCTGACGGGAGGTCACAGGCCACAGGGTGAATAAACGGGAGAGAGGAGGGCAGCTCCGTTTCCAGTAATCCTGACTAAAACCGAGCGAGGTGGGTTTCAGAAACTGCAGCTCTTTGTAATGGCAAAACCAAGAGCCCATTCCTAATTTTCTTGTCGCTTTTTGTATAGTGCCGGGGAGAAAAGAGCTGACTTGGGAACGTAACGAATTCTCCCAGATGAGCGTTTCCTGCTAGCAGAAGCATTAGTTGTCTTGAACACCGATGTCTTGCACAAAAGGCCAGTGACAAATCGGTGGTAAATGGTTTTCACTTCTTCAGCGCTGGTCTGTGTTCAGATATATAGCCCAGCCTAGTCGGAAAAGCGACATGGAAACGGAAAATGTACCGCATGTTAGTAACTGTATTTTCCCACAAAGATTTTGTGACCTTTTCTGTTGCTGCTAACTTAAATTTATTACGTGAGGCTTTGGTCGTTACACTGAATACGCATGTACAAGTAAAAATTGTCAGTGGTCCGAAGACCAAGAGGTAAAAATGCTGCTTCCTTCCTCTTTCTGTTGGTAGCATGGCATGACCCCTCTAATGCACGCAGCGTACAAAGGGAAGGTAGACATGTGCAGGTTGCTCTTGCGACACGGAGCTGACGTTAACTGCAATGAACATGAGCATGGATACACTGCCTTGATGTTTGCTGGACTTTCAGGTAACTTCTTACTAAACTTAGACCACTGATTTTTATGACGTTGATGGGTACAATTTGCTGTAAATTAATAGTTTAAGGGAAAATGTTGACATGCTTTTATTATTCAGGTTTGCTGTTACTTGTGTGAACCGTGCAAATACTTCAAGACCAGTAGCATCACCAGGGCAGTTGAATAGCAGAGCTACTGTTCAGGCTTGGGCTCTTTTTTCATATAAAAATTGATTTTGTGCAGTGCTTTTGAGGCATATAGTCTATCTGTACTTTGTCCTGTGTTACAGATCTCAAAATTCAGTCTCCTGTGATAGTTTTTTTGTGCAGTGGGATACGTTCTGTTTAATTAGACTGAGTTACGCTGAAAAAGATGCTGCACCGAACTGCCTTTTTGGGACTACAAATCAGTAGCTTTTAGTAATATTTGAGGCTTGTCACATCAACCCAGTTATTTTTCAAATTTTGCCTTTCTTCTACATAATTTTTGCTGTTATCTTGTGGGCTTTAAAAAATGTATTTAGTAAGTTTTAAAAACATGTTTTCTCACATTATAATTTTCCCTCTTCTCTTACATTTTTTTATTTTTCATGAGAGTGCTTATAGCTGCATGTGCCCTCTCCTGTCTCAAGTGGTGGTTTGCAGCTTTCCTCTTGCTGTTCCTTTTCCCTGATGAAAGGAACAATTATTTCCTTGGGTGAGAAAAAGACACTACAGAAAAACCCCACATTCTGGGGTAAAGATTAGATTTGGGAATATGAGGTTATTTCAAGTAGCTTCTTTAACTGGGCCACTTATGTCTTCCCCAAAAGGAGATTCTAGGGAAGTAAGATTTCTTAGCAGGTAGAGCTTAAACTCTGCCTTCTGTCATCCTAAGTACAGAAAAGTATGAACCTTAACTGGATCATCAGCTTGTTTTTCTGCTAAAATTTTGGTAAAAACGTTTGGGAAGTGACGGTGTTCCGTGGCATTGAGCAGTATCAGGCCTGCAGCAGAACAAACTCCTAGAGGCTGTTAAATGACTGCAGCTTTATGGAAAAAGCTGGGGTTTTACCGTTTTCTCACAGCTGAGCTTTTAACCTGCCATCCTGCCTTTGAATGCTTCCGAAGGTTGACTTTAAGGTCTCACCTGTGGGCGCAAAAGGTACATGAGCATTACTGCTGCAATTCCCTCTGGTTTTAAACCAGAAACATTTGTTTCCATCCACCACCCCCTTATTTTTTTATGTTCACTTTTCATTACTTAGCATATGCACAAAAACTGATAAAGTAAGAATACCCTTGGAAGCAGAACCAGCACAAGTGGTGACAAGTGTCCTTATTAGTCTCTGAAGGGCACCAATTAAGTCATCTAATCTTCCCATCAAATTTTAGCTCCATTTTACTTGGTATTTATCCCAGTCTGAACACCCAGTTCCCGCTGTGGAGAAAGGAACAATCTGTTCTCTTCTCTATGCTCCTGCTGCATAATAGTACTGGATTTGTTTTTCTTCTTAGAATAGCAAATGTTTTAGATGAACTGTCAAACGAGATTAGTAGAATTTGCTTCTATACTGCTACCCAGAGGGACCAAGCTCGCTGTAGTTACATGCCTCTGACTTCCATAAGCTCACGGGGAGCTGAATGTGCATTACAGGGAGCAGTTATACCCTGCCTGAATTTAGTTTTTGCTTTGATTTGACCCTCTGGGACCAGAAATAAGGAGGCAGCACTGTGCCTTTCTCTTAATCCGTTCTTAAAATAATGACCTTAAGAACATTCATTTCCCTCAGCGTTATTCCTGCTCTTTAGGAAATCCACTCCTTGTTTTTCTACAGCATAAAGAATTACAAGTTCTGGTTTGTTCTCTTTCGTTCCCCGTATCTTCCCCCCAAATTCAGGAAACAAAGAAATCACCTGGATGATGTTAGAGGCTGGAGCAGAGACTGATGTTGTCAACTCTGTGGGAAGGACAGCCGCTCAGATGGCCGCTTTTGTGGGTAAGGTGGAAAGTCTGTTATCATTTCCTAAATCCCTACAGAAGACAAATGTGAGGTTCTGATGCTTTTTGTTGGGGAAACATGATTTAATGACCTGTTCTGAACGGACGCCGTGGTTCAGCTTTTTTTTTTTCCACGTCTCATCCTGTAACGGAGTCCATTTGTGTTCTGTTCCCGTGCTGCGTTTCCTAAAAGGACAAATGATCTTGCCTGCAAGAACAGCTGCTGCTGTTCTCCAAGTGGGCAAGTTTTCACAATGTCATCACATGTCAGATAGCGAGAGGGAACAGGTAACGCTCAAGGTGTCTGGAGCGCAGGGCCAGGAGCGTAACTGGAGCTTCCTTTGTGGGAAGGACCGACCGTCGTGCTGGGAGTCGGGGACTCTCGTCGTCTCGAGGCGCCTCCTGCCCCGCTCCCTCTGCGCTGGGGAGAGGGAGAAGTCTCGGAACTTAGTGCTGAGGGAGTCGGTGTGTACGGACCTGAACTGGGCTGGAACAAGGTGAAAGGTCTGTCGTTCCAGTACGCTGCGTGGTCCTTGGCAAAACGTGCCACCAGGCTGTTTTCTGTTGTTACTTTTCTTTTTCGTGGCTTTTTTTTTTTCTGAAACCCTTTTTACTTCTTTACCCGCTTTGACAGTGGTGGGAGATTCCTGGATTAGGGTTCCCAAATATACCACTTTTTCCTATTTCTAGCAAGGAGGCGTGATACAATATTACCAGCAAAAGCAGAGACATTTTAATGACTCAGCTATTGCTGTCCAGATGACCTTCCCAAAAACCAAAATGAGGACCTGTATATTCACTTCCACACGACCTTCTCGTATTGTTTAAATGTCTGAGAACTCCCTCGCCAGTCCGTTGGGTGTTCTGCATTCAAGAGCTTACCTTGCCATTTACACCTGCTTCCTAGACTAGTGAATTAGTGCGGTTTCAATTTCAATCTTGCCTCATTCTGTTCTTTTAAAGAGGAAAAGATCGACGTGGCTCACTTGAGGTTCAAGCAGCAAACCCTTCGCTATTCACTTAATGTGTCAGAGAAGCCCACTCCTGTTAATTCTCCTTTGGGTTTGGAGAGTCTTTTCCAATGTGATGCTGAATTGAGTTACTAGTGAATGGGGAATGTTACCTCCAACATAATTTTGGAGAGTTCTTGTTTAAAATCTCATCACCAAGACAGAATAACTATTTTCAGGCATACTGAGATACGCTACTCTGTAAAGTCTGAACAGTGGAATCCATTCCTCTTTTCTGTTCTCTGTCCAATCAACACGAATTCATCTGTGTGTGGGAAGTGGGGGCACTTCTTCCCCTGTGCTTTGCCTTGCGCTGTGCTCTGTTGGCTTAGAACAGTCTCTTCTAAAGCAGCGGAGGGTTTTAAATGCTGGAATTTGGTCGGCCGTGTTGTCTTCTACTGATTAATAGGATTAGGGCCAAGATAAATCAATCAGTTTAAAGAATGTGGTCCTGAACTAGAGAAGCTAAATTTTACTTTCCCTTTAGCCAAGTAATCCATCATATTGTCAGATGTAGAAAACAAGAACGGGGTGTAAATTCTCTCATCTTGTTACTTCAACACAGTCCTCTTTTTTTTTTTTTTTTTTTTTTGGTAAATTTTGAGCATGTTCTGTTCTTTTAATTTCTTCCGTTTTAGTTAACACACTACTATCTGTTTCAGGTCTGAAAACTTACAATTCTCCATGCAAATGTCATTAATTTTTGCAAGTCCAAAGTGGAGAGAGCTTCTCTTGAAAAATTTTAACACCAGTATGAGACTGCTGTGTAGTGTAACTTTGGGGATAATACCCGTTCGCTTAGTTTTGGAT